ACATCAGTGCTGTTATGTAACAAGGTTGTTACAAGGGCCCTCCAGTTTCCCTTCAGCTTGACCTGCAAGTTCGTCCAGTGCGCCTTAAGGCACAGAGGGTTCCCCTTGCTCTCAAACCAAAGATAGAAGAGGAGCTGGATCGCTTAGTACAGCAAGGGTTTTTGGAATCGGTCCCCCACGCTATGTGGGAGACCCCCATAGTTACTCCATTGAAGTTGAATGGGGGTGTGCGCATCTGCGGGGACTATAAGTGTACAATCAATAAAGCTTTGCAAGACCACACTTACCCTGTGCCAGTGGTGAGTCATGTATTAGCTACCCTGGCAGGGGCCAAGGTTTTTGGGAAGCTGGACTTGGCCCAGACATACCAACAATTGCCTGTGGATGATGGGACAGCGGAAGCACAGACCATTGTTACTCATAGAGGTGCCTTTCGGGTTAAACACTTACAGTTTGGGGTGAGCCTAGCCCCAGGATTATTTCAGAACTTAATGGACTCCCTTCTAAAAGGGCTCCCAGGGGTTACGCCATTTTTTGATGATGTGTTAATTGCTGCCTCTACCAAGGAGGAATTTGCCAACTGCCTTCGTTCTGTGTTAAAGCGTTTTGAGACAGCCAGCCTTAAGGTTAAGTGGGAAAAATGCCTGTTGGGGGTGGATCGGGAATTCCTATGGTTTTCTATAGACGCGGCAGGAATCCACCCTTCCGAAGACAAGCAAAAGGCGATCCAGGATGCTCCTGCACCTACTAACAAGAAGGAGCTTCAGGTGTTTCTTGGTCTCTTGAATTTTTATCATGCCTTCCTCCCACATAAGGCAGCAGTTGCGAGCCCCTGCATCGCCTTCTGAAGAAAAAGATTCCCTGGGTCTGGGGGCCTTGTCAGGCTTCCGCTTTTCAAGCAGTTAAAGATTTTCTGGTCTCGAACTCAGTACTGGCACATTTTGATGAAAAATTGCCTGTTGTGCTTGCTTGTGATGCTTCCTCTTATGGTATTGGGGCTGTTCTCGGTCATTTGCTTCCCGATGGGAAAGAAGTCCCTGTTGCATATTATTCACGGACTCTTTCCCCGGCGGAGCGAAATTATGCGCAAACTGATAAGGAGGGCCTGGCGACTGTGGCAGGAGTGAAGAAATTCCACGATTACCTGTATGGATGGCCCTTTACCATCGTGACAGACCATAAGCCGTTACTGGGGTTGTTTGCACCCGATTGCCAGACACCACAGGTCCTGTCCCCAAGGGTTCTTCGTTGGTCCATTTTTTTGGCAGGAGATCAGTATGTGCTCCAGCATCGCTCCGGAAAGGCAATGGGGCATGCTGATGCACTTAGTTGTTTACCATTGCCAGATATGGATCCAGACCTGGCACCTGCCCACCAAATTATGTTGATGGAGGAGTTGCCTGATCGGCCTCTCCATGCTGCTGATGTGGCAAAGCGTACTGCCCAGGACCCCGTCCTCTCCCGTGTTTTGGATTGGGTGGGGAGGGGGTGGCCTAAAGTTCAGAAGGGGCAGGATTTTAAGCCATATGTTTCCTGGAGAGATGAACTATCCACTCACAAGGGGTGTTTGTTGTGGGGAAGTCGAGTGGTAATTCCCAAGCCCTTGCGGCAACGTTCTCTTAGCTTTGCACGAAGCGCACCCTGGAATTGTGTGCATGAAAGCCTTAGCTAGGAGTTATGTTTGGTGGCCAGGTTTGGATGCAGAGATTGAGGCTTGGGTTAAGCGCTGTAGGGTTTGTCAGGAGACACGCCCTGATCCACCTCAAGGCCCGGTACAGTCGTGGGAGCCTATGCGGTCTCCCTGGTCCCGTCTTCATCTAGACTTTGCTGGACCATTTCATGGCCAAATTCTCCTTCTTGTGGTAGACTCTTACACTAAATGGCTGGAAGTGGTTCGGGTGCTTTCAACCTCAGCCTCGGCAGTTATTCGGGCCCTACATTCAATTTTTGCCACCCATGGTATTCCAGATATTGTTGTGACGGATAATGGGACAGATTTTACCTCCCAGGAGTTCCGGGAGTTTTTGGAGAGTAATCAGCGCCCTTCCACCCAGCTATCAACGGTCAAGCGGAAAAGATGGTGCGTACCACAAAGGAGGCACTC